TGTCTGAAATATGTAGAACGTGTGTGTTTAAACAACGCAGTGTGTTCGTTATGATTAAAGCACCTGTGTATAGCTTAGAATCGATTAAATTTTTAGTTGGAATTGATTCTTATGCAATTTTTTCACTGAAACGGAAATTATTCATGAAAAACCTGTAAAAAAAAGAATAAAAGGACTAATCCCTAAGATTTATTGAAGAATAGTACTTATTAAAGACATTTTCATAGAAATATGAATAATTAGCATAATTTATTCAATTTTTAAGTATATTTATTTAAATTATTAGGAAATTTTTATTTGTAATTGTTTTATTTGCGAAAGTTAACTTAAGAAATCTTAATTTAGTAGATAAATAAATAGTTTTATTTTTTCGATAGATGGCGTTATGAAAACAACTTGTTTTGTATAATCCTCTTTATTCGTATTTGTTTACTTATATCCTTTACTTTATTAACACTTTTAATTTTTTTATATTTCTTTTTATAGTTCTATATAACTTTTCCTTTTCTTTCTTTCATTCTCTCTCTTTCTCTCTGCCTCTCTGTCTCTCTTTCTCTCTCTTCTTCCATTTCTTTTCTTCCTTAATTTTTCTGGGTAAATATTTTAAATCATTAAACTACAGTAAATTGGCGTTACATGATTATCAGTGCATTAAGTAGTAGTGCCGCAGGTGGCAATTTACAATTGGTCAACTGCTGTACTCTGCTTTTCTCACAGATAAATCGTATCTACAAAAACGCCCTCTAACGGGTAAGTATATGATTTGAAAGTCAACTTTGCAATAATAACTAGTTATGTGATAATTGATAAAAATATTTACCATACAATTAACTAGTAAGTCGGTAACTGATAATTTATTAAAAAAGAAAGGGCAATAAATTGAACTGACAATAATATATCTTTTCAGTAAAATGCTGAAATAAACAATTGATAAGAGTTTTAAAGGAAAAAGGAAAATAAAGAGCTAACTGCATGTTTTCAACATTTTATTTTAAAAAAACAAAAACTAATAATATTAATAAAAATATGCACTTAAATAGAAATCCAATATTATTAGTAGTAATACTATTATTATAAATTATTAATTGATAAAGAAAAATACATATAGAAGGTATAAAACTCTTTTATTAACTCTTTCTCTAGCCCACACACACACACACACACACTCTTTCTCTCTCTCTCTCTCTTCGTCTGGTCTGTCTTTCTTTCCTTCCCACTCTCTCTCTCTCTCTCTCTCTATATATATATATATATTGATTATCAATTGACCGATGTCGATTTCGTTTGAAATTTTTTGCAAATAACGATTTAATATGATAACCTTCCTTCAATATTTTCCAGTTGACAAGATTTTGCATTTTGTTCAAATATAAAAAGGTTAAACTAAATTTTACAGAGATCTATTGAATATTCTGTCTGTTCTATATTGGACACACCTAGTAATGGTAGTAATATATTTAATGTATGATAAACAAACTTAACATCTCTACCTTCCATTTGTTTTCATTATTTAATTGATAGCTTAAAAGAATACTATTAAGTGTCTAACCTGGAATAAGAAATATAAGAAAATAATGTAAATGGCTTGCAAAAAGCAAACGAAATGGAATAAAGAAAGTACGTTTTCTTTAATCTGCTTATATATTAACTACATTCCACGAAATGTATAATACTTTCTTTAAGATCATTTCCTTTCACTATTCGACTGGTCAATAAGTTTTAATGAAGAGTATAACTTTGTATTTTACCTGGGATTGTTTACTCTAATTGTTGTTAATTCATCAATTCAAAAGAGAAAGAGAGACAGAGAAAAAAGACATACAAGTCCTAATATAAAAAAGTTCGTGATAAAGAAAATTCTATTGATAGAATGACAGATCAATTTGAAACTAAATAAAACGACAAATTAATTATAGTAAATTGTTCTTTTATTATAATGCAAAATGTCTTTGGTATTTGTTTATTTAATAAAATGTACACAACAATATGTTTTAGCTTCTTTACCGGTTTATTATATCATTTTAAAGAATGACTACGAAAGGGAATTTATATTGTTAAGGGAAATGGAGACCTTAATAGTTAACAGATACATAGAACAAGTATGGAAATTCACTCTTTCTCTTACAGAAATGGATGGTCATTACTTATAGATGAGTTCGACCTATTTTATTTCCTTTTTTTATACTTATTCTGTTATTATTATCCTTCTCTAGAAAGTATAATTACTGCTATTAAAGGTGACGATTAACAAAACTCTATATGAAGTTAATTAGAGGCATTGGAGAAGTTAATTGGGATTCGATGGACCACAATTATACAATTGTTTGATATGCTGCTGGTTTTCTCTATGAGGGAACTAGAAACATTTTTTCTCTTCTTATTTCCCTTTATCCTCATGATTTCACAAGAAAATATATAGTGAACTTGTTATTGAATTTTCTCTCTAAAGATCATCTAGAAGCACTTTAACTCTATAATTAACCTATTTCCCGCAATAGTCTTTTGTTAACTACAACATTTAATTAGAAACCATTAAAATTGAACAAGTATTAACGAAAAGAAGAAAAAAAGAGAAAAGAAAGATTATTAATTGAAGGGAGACTTTTCTCAAGCTGGACTGTATAATAAAACTGCTGGGTTGGCTAAAAATTTTATTATAAGTCTCTATAATGCACTTCTCATTATAGTAATCCGAAAATGAATGAATTAAAAATTAAATGTCTAGTTTATTTATCAACATGATGTGAGTTAATATATATAAAGGAATATTGTAAAATAATAAAGGCTACTTTGAAACAATAAAAGATTAATGCAGTAGATCCGATGTAATGAATAGCGATCAATTTGAGTTTTTATGGCGCTTCCTCTCAGCAAAATTTCAAATTTATCATGGCCTGTTGAAAGGTTTGAAAACGTTGAAAGTCTAATAAATTAAACATTTTATTTAGGTAAATCTGATTTTTTGTGTCCAATTTGTACTTATTTATTCAATCTGTCTTTTCATTCTTTATTTGTGTTAATGTTTCTAAGACTGCGCAGTTTTTTAAATAATTAATTATTAAGGAAGAGGAAAACTTTCTAGACAAGCGAGAAAGCAGAGAGAGAGAGAGAGAAGAGAAACAGTCTTCGTATGGTAAAAATATCAAGATAAAAAAAATGAACAGAAATTATTCCAGTTTTTATTATCTTTTGTAATAGAGTCATAATATGGTATTCCTATCTCGATTTAGTAGATTTGTGATATAGCTGGAGTAGAAAAACAATCATTGTAATTTGATCCCATCCTTCGCAGAACAGTTTTTCCGTTAAAATCTTAGAAACTTTGATATATAAATTTTCTGTGATATATTCATCCTTTCAACTCATTTTTCTTCTGTCTGTCTATCAATTTTTTTGTTTAATTTTAGTATGGATTAATAAATAATTGATCAAGGAAATATTATGAATAAATACATAAATACAAATATATCATCATATATTGATTAATATATCAGTAACAAAGCTAAATAGTTTACAAAGAAAAGGTAATTTAATGGGGAATAAGTGAAGGGTAAAAAGACAAAAGTAGGAGAGAGGTTAAGAAAGAAGAGGGAGTAAATAAATAGATAGGTAGAAAACACGAGATAGAGAGAGGGAAGGAGATAAAAAGCGAGAGAGAGAGGGGGAGGGGGGATATAAAGCAAAATAGGTAGAATGAGAGTAAGAGAAAGAAAGAGGAAGAGAGAGAGAAAAAAAAAGATAAAGAAGGGTGGAAAAAAAGATAAATTGGATTGGTTAGTTTGTTTTCCGTTGGATATTGTTTTTGTTCTATCAATTAGTAAGAGAGAAAAGGTGTAGGCGAGAGCAGTAAAATTCTTTAGAAAGAGTTGAAAAAAAAGAGAAAGTGTATAGGATTTGTAAGAGAAAAGGAAATGGTCAATTCAATGCAATGAGAAGATAAGAGAACCTTGCATGCATTGTAAAAGTTCACGGAATAGCCCTTTCATTTAATATTGATACGCTTTTACGCTTTTATCTAAAAGAGGAATAACAAAATCTGGGAAAAGCTACACAATATTAATTAATAAATTAATGAAAAATTGGTGACAGCATATCTGATAAAATAATTTTACGTTACCTATTCTGAAAGTAATTGACTAATTATTAACCTTGGAGTAATAGATGTGTATCATAATATATTGAATAATACTTGATATTAAATAGTTCAGATATCAAATATATATATATACATATATATATATATATATATATGAAGAGTATTTCGGTCGTAATTACGTTCTTTCAGTCCAACAGCATCTGCAAATGAGTTAATTTGCTCTCTAGTCACCGTGATATAAAACATGCCAAGCTTTATTGAGTGGTATTTTTAGTTGGTAATTTGCCGTAAACTATATTTCTCACTTAGTTTTACCATACAATTCCTTGCCCTTTAGCTGCATATTTTCTCACTAATAACCAATTATATGAGCCGGTTTGTACCGTCTTTCATACTCTATATAACAATATAAAATAACCTTTTATTCGTTTCTTTGTACTATGGTATAAAGGCATAATAGAAACAAAGAGAGAGAATGAAAACAGAAACATAACATGACAACTAAGTCAAAAATAGAAAATGGTACAGTATTTTCCAGTAGTTAGTTTATTAAGCCTTACATACCAGTAAAAAGAAGTTAAACTATATATTCTGGGATTTAGCACATAAAAATAGATAGGATAAAACGATTATTTATTATAATAAATTCTAGATATATATACAAGTATATATATACTAACTTAAATATAGATTTTTCCTCTGTTCCCTTTAATACTATACAATAAATTATCCAATACTTAACGGAACCCGGAACAAATAGTAAAATAAATTTGTTAGGAGTGCTGTTTGCGGTGGAACAGATTGGTATTTAATTGACTGAATGGTTGCAGTCAAAAAAGATAGAAAAATTAATGCTAAAATAAATTGATTTTTTGTAGGTTTTTTTTTTTTTCCTTTTCAAGCTCTATAGAAAAAACAAACATTTCTCTTAATATTGTTAAATATCTATTTATAGAGGTTAAATCAATAATGTCAAATGGAGAAGACAAGAAAGGGAAAATTTTCTGGTAAATTTGAGCAGTTTAACGCTTTTAACTTCTTTTTTTTTTGGTCTTCTCTATCTATTATTCAGTTTATCTAAGGCACAGTCTAAATTTTCATTCTTTCTTCTTGTTTGTCTGTTTATGTATTAATAAACATTTCATGTTCATTTGTGCTCTTTTTTAGACTCACGTAATACATTTGTATACGTTTTGAGTTAAATAATAACGATTTTCAACATTGTTAATAGAAACACGTAAAGTGTAAGTACAAATATAGGTATAACAGATATATTACTTACGTTAAACAGTAGATGATCCAGTTATAATCAATTGATAGCACTAAAATCTCTCCTTTGATATTTTTCAATATGATTTAAAAGTTACAGAATAAAAAAAGTAAAGAGATGCTTTTACCCAGATTATCAAGTCAATAAGAGAAATATGAAAACAATAGAGAATCCTATATTCTCTTCAGTTTACTTCTATTGAATATCGAAAATGAACTAATGAAAAAATAAATCCCAAGTATAAAACATTATCGAATAACCGAAAACGAACATAAATTCCAATACTTTCATACGCAAACTGATTTACTATTTATAGAAAAATTTAGGATAGTTTTTATCAAGCTAGGGCCAGAACACTTTGTGGATTGAGAATAACGGTTTCTTTCTTCCTACTTTTATTTCCTTTTATCCTATCTTTTCTTTTCTATCCTCTCTCCTTATTTTAGAAAGAAGTAAGATAAAAACAAGAAGAAATCTCTTCACTTCTCCAAGTAAATACAGTAAATAATAATAATAATAATATTTTCAATGTTCTCAAACAAGTATATATAAACGCTTAACATAATTTTTTCAAGGTTACTTTGTATACTTATAAGAAAAGATAACTTACTAAGGCTGCACATTTTAAACTTCTCCTAATTATTTGCTCTCTTTCTTTTTTGGTGAGTGCAAATTCCTTAGTTGGCAAAATAGAGCAAACTGTATATATATATGGAAAATGATATATATATATATACAGTATATATACAGCATATATAATATATAGAAAGTGACTTCATGTGTCAAAATCTATAAAAAAAAACGTTTTCTTCTGTCTTGCATAAACTGCAGGTTAGAGTTCGGAGGATGGATAATGATGAAACATTTCTCTTTGGCTTATAGCTTTTTCCATTTTATCAGAGAAAATGATAAAAGAGTGATGTGAGAGAGAAAGGGAGACTGAAAGAGAGAGGAATACGCTTGCTGTCTATGTCAGTTTTTTTTCTAATGTTCACAATTCGTCAACCTGAGCTGGAGGCCGACTCTTCTTTAAGCACTTTCTAAACTTACTGCATTTGTAGAAGAGTCTCATCCACAACCTCTTCAACCCACTACGGAAACTCCTCAAGCATACTGCGTAGAGAAAAAAGTTAATAGAAAAGTTTAAATCATGTGGAATATTCAAAAGAGATTTCATCGTATGAAATTCCATCATTTTATGATCGTGTTTTTTTTTTTGTAGCCAAAAAGCAGCCATCCTAACGGAATGTAAAGGCATATTGAGTAGAACAAAGACTGTAGAGACTATAAGTAGCATACGAATTGTTTTATATTGGCTAGACTGAGCCCTCCACAAATTCCTTTTTGACATACCAATCATGCGCTTCTCATCTTTGGAATCCGGCTCTCGGACACTGAATCGGATATGCATGGAACCTCTAGACGACAAAGAAGTTTGCATTGAAGTTCTTCTCAGCGCCGTAGATGCGTTTAAAATATCAACAACGGGCTTCGTGACTACGAGTTTATGAACTTGGCGAATACTGAGAGCTATCCTTATATTAAGCACTACAATAATAATAGAAGGGAAGACAAACATGAGAAATGAGTCTGTAAGTTCGAGAATGTAAATTGTTTTTTCAATATCATCTCCTCGTTTTGGAAAACATTTTAAAGATGAACGTTCTCCCGGTATTCGAGATTGAATTACAGTTGCGTCGTGTAAGAAAGGTTTATAGGCATATGAGAATATAGCAAATAATAATAAACTAAAAACAACGCATTTGGCTTTTTTAGGTCGGCAATACTTATCCCTTCTCAGCGGATACTGGATGCTAAGGAATCTATCAACCGTAAATGAAACGACGTTATAGACGCTTAAGAAACCAAAAACACTTTTTAAATAAATTATCAATTGGCAAGGACCGCTTTGATTCAGAACTTCTAGACCAAGATGGTTTAACCATGTACATATCATAGTTATAAGATAACCAAAGTCAACAGCGGCTAAAGATGCGAGATAGATGCTTGAAGACTGCCGTCGTAAATGTGTTGTTAAAAACACCAAAAAAGAGAGAAGATTTCCCGTCATCCCTACTCCTATCATTAGCGGATATCCGATTTTTTTAACTTCACCGACGACCGTTGATAAATGAAGGAGGCTACCATTACTAAAATTCGCCATCCGCTCTTTACCGTTGCCCGCACAAATTCCCGATAGCGACTGCAAAACGCGAATCGATATGACGCGCGCGCTATAGGCCTAATCTAATTGCTTATTCTAGGGATAAAGGTGAAATGCTTTTTTAGCCAGACTCTCAATATAAGGCTATTAATCATAACAAATATACATTTACTACTTCCTGTAAGAAATGAAAGTAACGATAAATAGGTGATTATATAAGTAGACAAAGCAGAGGTTGTGAATATTATAGTTTATTTGGTTGAAATAAAAAGAGGATCTAATGAGAGCTGCAGTAGTTATACAAGCAGACCGATTGGATCAATAAAAAAGACGTGGCTTGGACGACAATTTATTTATTTTATTCATGAAATTGGTCTTCTCAGCCAGACCTTCCTATATCCGAATATAATTTTGCAATTTCTTACCATTTAATACCTTAATAGAAATCTGTGACAGAATATTATTAAATAAACGTGACTAATTTTTCAACAATTTTAAGGTTAAAGAAAGGAAACTGCATCTGTTCTTTCAATCCTTTATACCTACAATCTTGAAAGAGAAAGTAACAGCTAAGGAAAAGTTTTCTTCTGTAGAAAAAAAAAATATATAGGTCGATCGTTCATAGGACAAACAACCCACGCACTTAATCTACATAGCAGGTGGACAAATTTACATTGAACAGCGTCACCTACTGGAAGTTTGCTTTAGCTATAGGTTTATTCAATTATCTAAATTTGCATAAGGTTATACGGTAAACCCGATTGGATACGAATGTTTACGGAGTCAGAGAGATAAAGATTTCTACCGTAACCCATTTAAATAACAATAAAGATTCCACAGTGTTCACAGTACACGTCTATATATCGTCTGTCTCTTTTCGGTAACAACGCCATAAATAGGATTGCAACTTTGTTCCATCATTGGAAACTATCTATACATATTTTTCATTTTTACAATTTAGTTGAAAAGGCCAACTATGGCTGTTGAGTTGTTACGTCACGTCAGACAATAGAAAAATCCAGCACTATTGCCGCTTTCCGGCTATTTATAATTTTTTTTCTATTATGCCTTTCATCTATTTAGTCGTTTTTATGTTTCGCCGAACAAATGTGTAGAGGACATATTATATATATATATATTCTATATAACACAAAATATATTTGGTTAATATATTCTCAGCGTTTCTTCAGCCTTATTATGATATTACGGTTCATCCAAAATTCTACTTATATCGATCGATAAGGCTACTTGATACGAAATCACTTAAAAATTTTTACGTTTTCTCTTGTTTCATTTTTCACTGTTAATTCTTAGTCCCAACGTAGTCAGCTTCTCTCTCTCTCTCTCTCTCTCTCTCTCACCATCTTCCTCTCCTATTAATACACTCTTCTAACACTTTATTTAAGGTTGCCATTACTTATTCAAAAATTTTCTTAGTATCAAATTTATTCTTATATTTATTGTCTTAATATAGTGAAAGTGATCCCTGAAAGGAGAAGTCATCCCTTTTAACAAAAAAATTATAGAAAGAGTAATAGAGACAAGAAAAAGAAGACTTCTTAGATGTAAAAGTTCTTCAAAATATTAATACGAGCTTTAAAATCTTTAAAATGCTTTAGGATATCTTATTAGGGCAGGTTAAATTATCGTTTGAAATGCAATATCTTTATGGCATATTTCCTTTTTGGAGAACAATTAACACAGTATGTAGTAATGAGTCATTTCTTATGAAAATGCCTTTTATGCTGTATAAAGGAGAATCAAGTTTAAAGGAAATAGAAGCATAGAAAAAGAAGAAGCAAAGTTATTATAAATGGTTTAAATGTGTTATTTTCTCTTAATTTTCTTTATTTATTTCTTTATCTCTCCTCTATCTCTTCGCCCTTTATTCTCTTTTATTTTGCTCTTTATCACATCATTCACTTGTTTATATCCTCTCTCTCTATCTTTCTGTTCGTCTGTCTGTCTGCCTGTCGCTCTCTCTCTCTCTTTCTCTATTTTTTTTCTCCTCCCCAGATTCTTTAATATTTAATAATATAAATATACTTAAGCAGCTTTTTATCTAATCTTGAAATGTTACTTTTTCAAAAGAAATCAATCATCATAGTCAACTAAGTCGGTATAAGCATACACGTTTCACACAAGTGTAAACATTGAATTAACTCCACTTATACGTATAAAAATACAAACGAACCTACAATCGATATACAGCGTTATATAGTAAACATATAAATAGTACATCTACTTATATACATAAGTATTTACTCATACACATTTAAAAAGTAATGAGTTCCTATATATACAGTATATATAGCTATATATATATAGCTCTTTTAACTGGCAAAAATCACTAACTGATCTTTCATTCTTGGTTCAACTAGATGTAGACAAGTACACAAACAAACCAGACATTTTTTACCCGAAAAAAAATCTTGCTAAGCTCAAAGCAGAATAACATTCTATTGATTCTTCTACTTACTGATTTCTATCTTATTTACTTTTATAAATTACATTGTAAAGTAAAAATTTCGATTCATTTTTAATCTTCCCTTCTATTTCATTGGTGATTTCTATTTTACATGCTTTTATTCCTTAGTCAGTTATATTATAAATATTTGTATATACAGGATACTATATACTGTACATATATACAAGTATACATATAAATATTAACTTATAGTAATGCACCTACATAATATTCATTTTTTATATAGTATTACTAATATTGATAAAAATGAAAGGTTTATCCATAAATACGTAACACTCAACACTATTTAGTTGAGCTAATAATATTGATACTATAATTCCTTCTTTGTGCTATATGAATTCTTTTCCATATTATTCTCTATCAGTTTAATAATTATACAAATACATTAATTCGTTTTCTTCATGATATTTATCATAATAATAAGTTAATTATCAGCAATATGAACCTTTAAAATGAACGATTTCTTTTTACAAGCACGCTATTTTTTCTGTCCTTAACAACAAAAGATTTTTTCTCTTATGTTTGATTTCGTGTCTTCTAAAGATTAAGAAGCTTTTCGTTATGAAAAGAGGAGAAAGAGAAAGAATAAAGATATTCGGAAGAATGTTAAGTGAAAAGAAGAGATTAAGATTGAGAGCGAGAAGAGAGTAAAACAAAAGCTAAGGTATCAAGAAAGGATCTTTAAATAAGAACTTCCTGTTAGGCAATGTCTGGTATTTTCTAAGAAATTCATCAATCTATAGGACAAAGGGAAAATTTGTTTGTAGTTTTTTTTTATTGCGTTAGCCGTATGGTCTGATAAATTGGTGTTGGCAGGGGCAAAAAAAATACTACAAATTTGTGATATCTGCTCATCTTTATGATGTTTTGGGGTGTTTGTTTGTCATTTAAACGTTTCAATTCATAATACTTTAATATTTCTCTAATACATATATTTATATATTTATATTAGATATATACTATATACTAAATACACATAAAATAGTATAATCCCTTCCCAATCTTTCCCCCTTTCCCCTTTATTCCTCTTCTATCCAAAGTAAATCTTCTTACCTCGATTTGTCACTATCCTTACGACGAAATCCAATTGCTGCCAATACTCTAGCTGAAAATATTACACTAAAACTTTTTATAATTGTATAGAAAAGGAAATCGTTGTTGTTAAAAAGTAACTATAGTGAGATAAATTATGAATAAAGGAGGAGGAAGTAGAGTTTAGGGCAGAGGTAATATTTAAACATTGATAAGAATTTATAGTAAAAAGTTCCTTTCCTGTTTCAAATGTATATTATATAACACTTAAAAAATGCTTCTACTTAAAAACCTTCAATAGAAATTAAGTTACCTTATATCTTCCATTCAGGTTTTCTCGAGCATCCTACTATTATATAGTGTTATCGATGAGCTAGGTTTCTTTTTCAGTGATGAAGTATACATTCTGAAAAAGCCAACCATGCTTAATATAATTAGAATAGACAGTTGTATCACATAGAATATCAGTTTGTTCATATTCTTTTGCTGACAGGCACCCCAGATAAAAAGGTTTTCATAAATTATTATTAACATATATTTATGCAATATTAGGGAAAAGGCAATTGTTGAGGATAAAGATAGATTCCCTTTCAACCGACTACAAATATATCTGTAGGCTTCTTTCCAACCATTGAGTATCATATTCCTTCACTTATTCTATTTAGATTTTCTTCCACTGGATTGAATTGATATAAAATATATATATATATATACTTTCTTACTATATACATGTCTCGATACCTTGTAAATTTACCAGAAACGTTTTGACTAATTGGTCTATAAAACTACTCATCAAACTCTTCAGCTTTATTATTACTATGATAAATCCCATGTTGTTCATTTTATTAACTTTTCTGTTGTCCCCTTTAATCCGATTATTTTTCTTTTACACACTTAACAAGAATATATGAATTGCAGCGATATATATATACAGCTTTTTTTTAATCTCTAAGGCTATATTTCAGATTTTCCATTCTCTCTTTGTGCCTTTCTTTCTGTCTGCTATGCTATATATACCTTTTTCATTATACCCTCCGCACTTATTCTTTCGCCTTCACTATCTCTCTGTCTCTCACCAATTAGATCATATAATAGATTTTAATTAACTTCACTTATCCAATGGATTTCTATATAGTCTCTTAACCTTTGGAACTAAGAAGTTGTAATTTTTTTTAAAAATTATCCTTTTAATGAAATCAGTTGAAATAAATTCAATTTTTTTCCCTTCATAGGTAAGATACTGGCTATTAACATCTTCTTTCCGTTTGCAGGATCCTATATTATTAGGCCTATATAATAGAAATAGCTAGAATTTACATTTGTCAGCTTTCGTTCGTCTGACTATTTCCCTATGTTTTAATGCTTATCCAATAATTTTGACTTGATATATAAACCTAACTGAATATATTATCAAATGTATGATATACACATTTTGGAGAGATAATCACTTCTCTCTTATATTCTTATTTTTTGAGATTAACTTGATCAACGTTTAAAGAAAGGATTTAATTGAAAAAGTATAT